AAGTCGTGCCATTTACAGCTTGATGTTCCTCGATCTCACAATGGGATTGTTCCCCGATTTTCGTAGTACTTACGGAACCACAGAACGCAGAGGTGACGTTGCGACTGGCAGGTGCGAACGACGAGACAGTGATGGTAAACAGCTATCGATTGGCAGTGACTCGGCGCGAGTTAATTACCCTCACAGGCACAAACTGGCTGAATGACATGATCATCAACTTCTATCTCCAGATGCTCGCTCATCGCAGTCGACTGACTGTATCGGCGACATCGGCGGGCGCATTAAGAGTGGCAACAATGAACAGCTTTTTCTATCCCAAACTCATCTCTGGTCCCGGATATGCGGGTGTGCGCCGATGGACTCGCTCTATCAACCTTTTCGAACATGATATTATCCTAATCCCCATCCATGATCGCACCATTCACTGGTGTCTTGTGGTGCGTTCTTATTCGTCGCCTTGGCTGCTCAGTAGTTTCAGCATTGCACTTTTATAGTTACTAACTGTTGCACTCTTGAATCAGCATGATAGCTTCACCGTCTGCTTTGCTTGAATGTATGGCTGGACAACTGCCCTTGAAACCAGCATTGACATTTTAAAGGTTTAAATTGCACTGTCTACTTGCTACCAGATTAAGTAGCATCAAACATCTGGTGAATTAGGTTCTGGCTCATGTTTCTGATTTACAAGTTGATCAGCATTTTGAATTTTTAGGCCATTGATTTGAGGAGACGAACGCTTTCCTATTATGACTCCATGGGTGGGACTAACGATCGCTGTTTAGATGTGCTTTTGTAAGTTCTGTTTTTGGGTTTTCTGTCGAAGGATCTTTCATGTGCATGCGAGTTTATCTATTGTCATACCTCTGCACACACCCTCATCGCGATGATCACAAACCAAACAACTTAGTTTTGCCTGAAATTAGTTTTTATTAGTTTGTCCTCTATGTCTGTCTAGCTTTGTGATAGGTTTGTGGTGTTATCAGACGAATTTTTCCAAGTCAATGCCGTAGCAGGGAAGGTCTGTTCTTCTCTACATAGAGATGGTGCTAGTATTTGGTTGCGTGAAAGTTAGTTCCTTTGCTAGCCTCGATTATTGCGTTACTTCACCGCTGAAGCTAGATTAAGACATCCCTTGAAGAATGGGGTCTGTTGGGATTTTATTAATCGGAACACTGATCACGTATTTTCCCTTGAAAGAATAAAAAAAATCTTACACGTTTGGAAGTGGTACACTAACGTCATTTCCACATCGTTGGAACCTCCATAGAACCAGTGTTGTCTGTTGCCGTCTTGCATAGCTTGACTTCCTAAGCACACATCTTTTGCCATTGCATTCAGTTCGTGTTTCACTCGATCATTTTTGGTCTATTGATGCGCCGGTTAGCAGGGTCCGGGTTTGTTGAATGTAAAAGGCAACGTTTTACGAGGACGCATCAACAGTAAGCCTTCGGCCAGCTACAACACTTCCAGGCGCATCGCAGAGAACTAGTACCTTTCCTGATACGCTATGCAAAATTCTTATTTTCGTAGTCCTTTTCAGTCCATTCCTAAGAGGCCCTCAATTTTCGTTTTACCTCCGTCCTTTTACTCGAAACAGCCTTGTTCAACTGCCTGAAGTGAATCTTCATTTAACTCCTCTTTGGTCACTTTTTTGATGCTTTTGCTCATCGGAACCAATTTCCGGTAGCGCTATAACTGGCATGGTTTCACTTAGGTACCAAATGAAGATCTTGCATCATTACATCAGTTAGTATACAATTGTCAGGTCAAGGTCCTTTACTGTGTTAGCATGTCGGATTCAGGCGGTGTGGAGGTGGGCTGCCATTATGAGGCATTGGCTTCTGATTGCATTTAATTTTCAGGAATTATCTGAACTCTGAAAGCGAGGATAAGCTCCAAAAGCCACTGATGGCAATGTCCACATGGCAGAAGATTAATACAGGCGTATGTTCCTCTGCCTATCCTCCTTTCTCATTGTTATCTTTCCAGCTATGGTCTCTACCGAATGATCAGCTCACTTCTACGCCTTTCTACTTTGTAGGCGTCTGTACCACAGCAGCGCAATGGTTCCGACTGCGGTGTCTTTCTTTGTACTTACGCAGAGTTTTTGTCCCGAGATGCCGACTTCACCTTCTCGCAGGTGAGATAGACACCACACCGAGTACTAATTGATGGTTTGCTCGCCCTACACGCACGCGCCCACCTCGTTCGCTCATGCACCATCACTGATTGTTTTGATATTCACTCCCCTACTCAATACTCAGATAACCTGCTAGACGATGAGCTTACAGGACGGGTGGGTGAGATCACCACATTGTGTTAACATTCCTTGTATAACCGATGAGGCAGTTCTTCGTGCTTTTGTCCTTGATGGAGCTATCGTTCACTAGCAGCACGGCAAGTACTGCATTTCAGGTTTAGATTGCCACACGGATGTAGACGGCGTAAACCCATGGATTGTCCCTCTACCGACGCGAAAGACCCAAAGCACCATAAAATTAAGCCCTGGAGAACCTGATGTATCACCGCAAAATCACAACCACCAGCTGTTTCCACGTTTTCAGGAGGATATGCCGGATATTCGAAAACGGATGATGTACGAGATCCTAACAGGGCAGCTACTCACAACAGGAACAAACCTGGCGGAAAGTTAATTGGTACCAAATCGTCTTCCTGCTCAGCATCCCCATCCCCTTACCGTCCTGTTTTATATCAATACACGCTTATACGAGAAGGTACAAGGCACGCCAAGCGGGTACGGGAGACTAGATTAAGTAATTTTTTATTATGCCTATTTGAAAAGAGAACACACGTTGTGCCAGGAGAAAAGCCTAAAGAAACGAGCTGAACACACACACGCACGCAAAAAACACAGAACCATACGGAGTAAAAAAGCCGGTGATGAAGTAGAGATGGCTGGAGTGTACAATGCCGATCAAGGTGCTGGAAGGTGGAGACAGAGACACGAGGAAGATGTTCGTGACTTAGGAACTGCTGGCAATTCCACTGGACGCTGTACCGGCAGCCGTGGAGGCGCTGGTGAGAACGCGTGCGGAGGCCGAGGACGCTGCGGTTGCATTGGTAACAGGCAAGGGATTTATCACAGCGCCGCCAGCTCCGCTGTGACTGGTAGCCATGAGGGAATCGGAGTAGGATTTGCGCTTGAGTAGCGAAGGATGAATGCAAGGTAACACGCCACCATGGGAGATGTGAACATTCTTTAGCAGTTCATTTAATTCAGCATCATTCCTTACGCCCAGCATGATGTGACGGGGAGTTATAGTCTTTCTGCAACCAAACAACAAAGATACTTAGTCTAGAGATGAAAGGGGAGCTGCCGCGCATAAAAGTTCGCAGATTAGTTTTACTACATCTTGAAAAAAGACGAGATAAGGATGATAAATAAGCTGAGTGCGACACGAACTAGCCTTTTGTTGGCCTTTGCTGCATTTCCGGAGAGTTCGTTTACTTCAGCAACTAGGTACTCAATAACTGCGGAGAGGTAAACGGAGGCGGCCGTGGATGTGCGGCGAGCGTATCTGCCCAATTTGAGATAACGATGAACTCGGCCAACAGGCATGACCAACCCGGCTCTAGCGGACTTTGTGTGCTTTTTGCCTCCGGCAGGCTTCCTGGCCTTTCCTCTGCCCGACATACCAGCGGTCGTATGGGTAGGAAAATGGCCTAGCGCTGTAATCAAAACGACCGGGGCTTCCGCGCTGACAAAATAAAACAAAGTGACATGTTGCGAATCGTTTCGCATTATAATATTAATATATTAAAAAACTTTCAACAATCAAGCACGATAGACTTTGTTCTAGATGGGTGAGCAGTGTGACACGTTTAAATTATAATAGTTCATCAAGTTAAAGAAATTTCCACATTAGTTTATGCCGATTAACTAAAAAACAATAATGTCGTAAACCAGATAAAGTTCGAATGTGTATCCGAATCGGTGCGCAAATGTGTGCTGCCTTATGTCGCAAATTTTCTATTATTTCCAAACAATGCAAAATCCCTAATGTGTCTCTCTCAAAGGATCTATAATATGCGATTTGTTTAAGTGTGTCTTCCATGTCTTTATAATGTTAGTAAAAACCATTCCATACCTTGGCAAAGGGTTTTAAACCATTCTTTACGAAGTACTTCTTACAATGTCATACCCATTGAAGCTTCGCAAAGACAGCAGGAGTGAATCGAAGCACGGTGTAATAGAGGCTACACTGGACCTCGGCGCTAAAAATAAAGCTGAATGTGTAACATGGAACAGTAACTAGCTTTACTTTCTCGGTGAAGGCAGATGTGGCAACTAAATTTTTGTAGCGGTATTGAGGTTTGGACATTAGATAAACAT